CGCCTGTCAGCTCCCATCTGGGTGAGTTTTGGGTCCCAGCATCCCTTGTCTTACCAGGGAAGCCATTAACCTTTGCTGTTAAATGTGACTTGTCTGCGTGCAATCAGGGAGACAAGCACCAGGCACAGCTATGTCAGGAAAGTCTCATTTGACATTCTGTCTGCCCCCACTAATTAACAGGCCCAGAGAGCACATGGATGGGCTTATCCCAACAATTGCTGCTCACCCCAGGGGCTGGGTCCGCACAGTGCTGCCTGCCTGGGTTGAGTATGAAACCCTCTCTAAAGCAAGCTGTGCCTTTGCCTCTCCATTCCTGTCACCCCCCCATCACTGCCTCCCTCCCCTCCCTTTCCCCGTAACTTCTCTAAGATCCCGTATTACCTCTTGCCTGGACCCCAGAAGCAGCGCCCCAGCAATCTTATTGCTGCCCCCTGTTCCAGTCCTCCACACTGAAGCCAAAATGAACTTTCCAAAACGCAAACTGGACTACATTCTCCTTGCTAAAAACCTTTCCACAGCTCCCCAAGGCTCTTGAGGATGTGGCCCCTATCTTGTTCTCCAGCCTCCTTTTCCTGAACCACCTCCCTTTCTCACCGTCACACTCACTCTGACACTATCTGTGCTACTCCCTCCTCTTCTTTGCTCTTCTGCCTCCTCATTTCTCTCTGAATCCTAAAAGCTCCAATCCAACTAAAGGCTCCCCATTCTCTCCCAGGAAGGGGCACATTCCCTTTCCTGAGATTCTCAAGTAAGTTTTAGCATGCCTGGGCTTTCCACACATATCCCTTCCTTCTTCTGTTCCACAAACCTGTGTTGAGAGGTACTGTGGGCCAGGCGCTGTGCTGGTCACACTCATCCATCCTTCCCTCCAATCCTCAGCACCACCCTGGGAGGAGGGAGGCTGGCTCTTCAAGACCTGGCCCTTTTCTAACCTGCACATCCCACTGTTTGCTGCTCTTTGTCCCCGTGGGTAGGACCCTAAGCATATCATTTTCCCTCTCTGGCATTCAGTTTCCTCCTTAGCAAAATGAGGCCTTTACCTCTCAAGGTTGTTGTGAATTAAAAGTAATAATAACAATAGTGATAATAACATAGAGCACTAAACGCAGGCCAGATGCTCTTCTATGCACTTTATATACATCGGCTCCTTACCCCCATGGTGTGGTCTGAGGGGATAAGAGGCTCTCTCAGCTGCAGGCTTAGCACCCAGGAAGCACCCAGCCAGAATCCAGTAGCTGTTGGCATCCACGCCTAGCCTGGACAAGGCACATGAGATGGGAATATGCCAGGCACGTTCTGGGGATGGCACACAGAGCAGCCTGGCTGGAGCTCATGGCTCGTTTTTAATAAAAGATTAATGAAATTATCAAATTGACCTTGTCAGTCTCTGCTCAATCCAATTACATGACTGTGGTCCCCGTGAATGGGGTTAAAACAGGAGTACACATGAGAGACACCAAGACCGCAGCCATGAGGGAGATGGCAGCCACCCAGGGAAACCCTAAAGGGAAGTCAGTGCCACCCGTGTCCCAGGCCCTGTCTAAGAACTGCTTGCCACTCTCAGCGTTGCAGCATCCCATTACTCTGGAGAGATGGCAGCTGAGCATCTACTAGACAGGGATGCTTGGTACCGTCAACACAATGCCGGGCTCTGTGCTGGGCACAAGACTCATGGTGAGCAAGACAAAGTCCCTGCTCTTGAGCAGTTCTGGTTCAGTAGGTGAGACAGACAGGGAAACAAAGAACATTCAGCAAAGTGAGCAGTGTCCTGATTGATGGCAACTCAGAGAAGACACACAGTGATCAACCTGGACTTAGAGAGTTTCTGGAAAGATCGTTCCTGGACTACGAAGTGACCCAGGAGCAGGACTAGAATAGAGAGAGATGGGGAGGGTGGGAGAAGGGAGAGCCATTCTCAGGGACAGCCAGGTTCAGTCAGGAGGACTATGCAGCAACGTTGTGTAAAGCAGCTGAGGTTGTGGGGAAGTTCATTTGTGGTGGCAAAGGTTGGGGTGGGGGTGCTGGGCCAGCAGTGGGGAGCACAGAGCAGCTCTGGCACTGAAGAGGAGGGGCTGGGGCCCAGTGGGGTCACAGGATGAAGGATATGGAGAGTTCTGTGAGGGCAGAGTTTTCCAGAGAATGAGCCCCAGGAGTCCTCTGGGTATGAACACTCAGCCCTCCCTGGAAGGGTCTGCAGAGCCTGGATCATGGGGACATTTGAGGAAGCCAGAGCATCAACAGCAGCCTGACCAAGTTCAAGGCTCTGAGGAGGTCCCTGAGGCAGAGGCTAGGTGCAGAGCTGTACCTTCCTCTGCTTGGCCAAGAGCATTTAGTCCTAGTACCAGGGCCTGCCTGCTTTTCCCTCTCATCTGGAATAATGTTTCCTGGAATCTTTCAGCTGAATAGTCCTTTTCGGTTTACTGAGTTTGCTTACATCCCTTCAACAACTGGATCTGCAACACAACACTGAGCAACAGACATCTTCATTCTTCCCATTTTACAGCTGAGGAAACTGAGGCTTAAGGAGACCAAATGCCCCTACCCAAGGCTTGTTCATAATGGAAGTACAACTTACGTGTATTTATTCTGAATTTAAACCTTTCACTCATCCCATTACTATAGCATGATCTTAGGGAACGAAGGGTGAAAGCTGGATGTGTTGGCATGAGTAATCAGTAGAGACAGACAGTCCCTGGGGGCCCTCGCTTGAAAGGCCATCGCCTCTCTTACTTTGAGAGACAATCCTGCCAACTGCATTTATTGGGCTCAGTGGGGGCCCCCAAACATGAGACCTACATTTGGAATTTGTTTTCAAACAAAGTAACTCATGTTTAGCCTAGAATTTCTTTCAGAACAAGGATTCCTATCAGAACAAGTATTTCTCCATGGCCCCTCCACAGTGCCCCCCAGGGATGACAAATCTCCAGTCCCCTCCCAGCCAGTGATATCACTGTCCACCCACTCAACGAAGCCAGAAACTGAGGAATCATCACTGGGTCTTCCTCTTCTTACCTTCTACCTCTAATCAGCAAACCATGCTGGTTTTGCCCCAAATGTAGAATTCTACTTTCATCTGCCTCACCCACCCCTTCATTCTCTCGTCCCCTGCCTTTGCTCCAGCCTTCCACATTCCTTGCCAGGACTGTTAAGCCCCTCCTTTCTGTTCTTCCTAACTCCAGCCTCACCCCTTCCCATTCATCAACTATGATTCCACTGGAGTGGTCCTTCTGAAACACCAATCTGACCATGTTGCTTCCTGGCTCAACACTATTCAATGACTCCCTGTTGCCACCTCAAAGTGGAGTCCAGTACCTTAGCCAGCCTGTGGGGCCTGCATGTCCCAGCAGGCCCTGACCCCGATCACCTGGGCAGCCTTGTCTCCAGCAGGCCCTGCTTGGACCCCATGCTCCAGACCCTACACTGAAGCTCTTGTACTGCTGAAGGGATACTGAGATTTTTCTGTTGCTCATTCATCGATTCAACTTTTCAGCCCCTATGATATGCCAGACACTTTTTTAGGCATCGCTCTTAGGAAACTCATAGTTTAGCTGAAGATGGGACAATATTCAAGTAAACACACCAGGATAAGAGGCAAATAAAGCAGAGGAAAAGGACGAGAGAGTACCACGAGGTGGGGTGGGCGCCGGTTCAGACAATGTGGACGGCCTTTCTGAAGAGGAAGATGTGAACAAAAAACCGAAGGAAGTGGGGGCAGCCTGAGGATTGCTGCCGGGAGAGGACATGATGAGCACAGACCTTGCCTCATACTGCTCCCTCTGCCTGTAATACCACCCCATACCCCTCCTCGGGCCCAGCTCTCATCTGAGAATCAGCTCAATAGTTGCCTCCCCTGGGACACTCAAGGAGAACCAATCAGTCCTTCTTGATGTCCCTGAGTGCCCCACATGGCTTCAATCCCAGCCCTGTAACACCCATTCCTTCATTCATTCATTCACTCATTTATTGAACAAAACATGTTTGACTAGTCCCTGGGTGCCAGGCCCTGTGCTATGCCTTGGGATGCCTCTGTGACTTCCCCCTGCCAAGTGCCCAAGAGCTCCTGGGAAGCAAGAGGGAGGGACCTTCTCTGCTCTACCTCATTATCCTGGTGCTAGTGCAGCACCTGGCCCAGAATGGCTTCAGGTGAGTATTTGCTGAGTGAATAAACACTTGAGATCATTTTATTAAAATACTTCAGAGTCAATTTGGAGACAGGCACTCCTCTACTCAAGAGTAATTTAATAACCACAAATGCCTTTAACACAGTGGGGAGGGAAAAAAAGATGTGTGTTTCCTTTATTGCTGCTGTTAAAATAAATGGCATTTAAAATAAATATAGCATATAGAATGTGGCCACATGATGAAATAAATATCTAGTGAAATTATGCATTGCAAAGCAGACTTTTCTGGTCTTTTGGTTATTAAATTTAATCACTTTTGAGTTGTGCCTCTACTCTTTTTCCTAGAGGAAGGTATGCTTTTGATTAAAATGTGGGCCCCAGAGCACTTTCACAGGGGAAGGTTGAGCTACATCCCTTGAGGAACTGCAGTGGAGCAAGCCAGCGGGATAACAGGGCCAAGGCAACAGCCATGATTTGCTTCTTACTTGATGGACATGTTTATCCCCAGATAGAGTGCACAGCAGTCACAGGGCATATGGAAATCTTGCAATTAAAGCAAACTCTAATTAGAGACTACATATTTAAAATACAAAGGAAGCTTGGAGTGGCAGCCGCTCTGGTTGGCTCTGAAACGTGATTATCCTACTTCAGTCCCTGCACTGACTGGATTACGAGGAGGGAAATGCGTCGTGTTACCACACATGGTTTCCTGCGGGTGAGGAGGGGGCACTCTCTGACTTTCCAGTCCATGAAGTTTGGGAATCCAGCAGACTTGCATTTGAATCCTGACCCTGCCCATTATTACCCCACTAGCCTCAGCATCCACATCTTCATAATGGAAATGATGACAACTGCATCAGAGAGCCAAAGAAAGATCAAGTAAAGCCTTCGTGGGGACTCAGTTCAGGGAGTTTATGGACCAGTTAGGTGACTTACACTGCATTTTCCCCTGCCCCCATCCACACAGCTCAAGAGTGTGGCTTGCCTGCGAGCCACAGAGAAGAGACCTGGAGGGATGAATTCTTATTATACCATTCATCGTGCCCATGAGGCCAAAGGAATAGGCTTCTTCTTGACCTTTGTAAGTACGTGAGCAATCAATTTTAAGTGTCCACAAGGTGTGGGAACTTGGGATAAGCTGTTTCTCCTTAATTCAAACAGTCCTCAGGATCAAGGTAGTGGGTCAGTCCCAGGTCAGTGGGAGGGGTGGGAAGATAGTAACTCTTGCTAGCTGTGGGGTTCTGGCCTAGAGCTGGCATTTCCTGAGCTTGGGCTGGGGTCAAGAGATGAATTTGAAACTGTCACTGCCTTCAAGAAAAAGTCACAGTCTAATCAGGAAGAGGTAAGAAGGGGCACAGAAGTGCATAGCATCAATGTACATTCCTATGATATTTTACAGTTCAAAAAGTGCCTCCAACTGATCCCTGATTTAATCCTCTCAAGAGCCTGTGAGGGAGGAGTTAACAGTGACCTCCTGACTTTCAGCTTCAGGCCAGGTCTGTATTTCAGCTATACAGAAGAGTAAGTGCAGACAATGCAGGGTAGTGCCACAAACCACACACACCCGGTACCCTCCCAGGCAGAATAAATCAGAACCTTTTTGCTTTTTGTCTTTTTTCTTCTGGTCTCTTTTTGGTTTATTTGTCTTAAACAACTGAAACATAACTGAAGCCTCTTTTGCACCCTTCCCCACACCATTCCTGATAAGAACTATCCCAAAGCTGGCATGTGGCCTTCCTGCCTGAGTGTTAATACTCTGTGTAGTCATATGTCCATAAACAATCCATAATAGGTTTTGCACATTTAAAATCTTACATACGTAGTCACAGACTCTGTTTTGCTCTGCCACTTGCTTTTTTACATTATGATTTTCAGATTTATTTATGTGGATATGGACACCACTAGTTCTTTTTTTTTTTTCTTATGACATTTCACTCTGTAACAAAAGTCAGTGTGTGTGCATGTGTTTGTGTGTGTATGCATGCATTCAGGTAATTATCCTGTTGGTGGGCATCTGCTTCCACTTTTCCACTTTTACCACCATCCCACTTTGCTTTACAAGGGAAGGAGCATTCAAGGTGAATCTTGAAATGTCCAGAATCCAGAAAGGGAAAGAGAAACACTTCTCTTTGTCATATAGCACAGGGCCTAGCACCCAGCTGGCTCTCAGTCACTGGTGATTACTAGAGGCATTGAAGCACTGATCTCAGAAGGACTTGCATTTGAATCTTGACCCTCTCCCTTTTTAGCTGTGTGACACTGAGCAAATATCTAATCTCTCTGGCCTATGGTATCTTCATCAGGAGAAATATAGACTATAATGCCAACTCCCAAATACTCTTGTTATGATTAAATTCATGAATTATTTGCTGTAGCTTCTGACAGACAGGAGTTCAGCAAGGCTAATTGAATAATTTCCTGATTTTCTGCTGGGGAAAGGGTGTGGGGAAAGAATTGGCCTGTTCCTGTTGGCCACCCTTCTCACTCAAAATGAATGAGAGAATGAAAGAAAAAGAGAAACAAATAAAACAAGGTACCTTATAAACATAATTAAAAACCTAGGAGAGTGAAACTTACCTCCAAATCTGGCCACAGTTCTATTCCATCTGTGCTTTTGATTGGTCAACACTGGAAATCCCAGTAGGGTCTATTGGCACTGGACTGGGCTGTCTGAAGGGCAGCTCCACCCTGCAAAGCCTCCACCTCCCCTCCTGGGTCCTGTGGAGGGCAGCAACAGGCTGGGCTACACAGTGTTAAATCCGTTCCTCTCCATGAGATTGGAGCCAACGAGGCTTTCTGCTTAAATAGCTTATAAACACCTCCCAAAGCTCCTTAGCTCAGAAAAGTGCACAAATCAGCAAAATGAAAACAATTTAAAGACCCACTGGAAAAAATAACTCCAGATTCTTTTCTTCCACCAGCAATGGCAGCCTCTCAGTAGTGGTTGTCAGTCTTTGCATCCAGGGCCAGGTGCTTCCCACTAGCTTTGGAAAAGAATGTATCAGAAGCTGGAATCTGTTCCCTGATGGAAGGGAGAGGTGGGGGAGGGGAAGAAGAAAGGCTATAAAAATCTACCTCCCCACCTGGCTCTGAGGTTTCCTAACCCTGCCCCGATCATGGGATACTGCCAGGGCACACCACTTGTGGAGTTTGTGGAACAGGGACCTTTACACACACATTATAATTGGGGCTTTATAACTGAGGATCATAGGAAGTAACCAGCCCAAACGCTCTCACAGGTGGAGTGTAACACCCCTAACTAAGTGCTCATGCTCCCTGCTTCTATTGCTTGTAGGGCAGTGCCTGTTAGTGAGCTCCGACTGCATACCTGCCATAGGATTAGCACTTTAGCAACAGCCTTAAATGCTGACACTGTGATTCTTGTACTGAAGGTAATAAATAAGCTCCTTGTTGCTGACAAATCTCAGGATTTAGAAGGCTGTGTGACTTAGCCAAGATCATACTCCTGAAACCCATCGTCTATTACTCCACGTCCCATGCTGTTTCCACAGCATCAAGGAGGTGGCTCAGGAAAGACCTGACAGAGACATGTCCAGCCCTGAAATGCACCCCCTTCCCCCAAACATGTTTGATCTCCCCTCTGGACATAGAGTGGATGCTGTGTCTGACACACCTCTATGGGCTGAGTGGCTCCAGGGTCCAGGAGCTGCACGAAGGAGATGCTGCTCTAGACATGGCTGCCCTGGGCACTTCCCATCTGCACCCTTGCATTGTGGTGCTCACAGTCAGGTTCCCACCTGGCTGTACCAGCACTTAAGGAGGAAGGCAGGTGGGCATCTGCCCCTCATCATCTCTCACCTGAGTTATTTCCTTAATAGCTTTCTCAATTCCTCTCTCTCCCTGGAAACCACTCACCACACTGACACCAGCATGGTCTTTCTAAGGCACAAAGCCCCACCCTTCAGTGTGTCCATGGTCTTCAGAGTCTAGCAGCTCAGCCTGGAACCAAGGCCCTCCATGATCGGACCTCTACCCACCTCTCCAGCCTCGTCTCCCAATACCAGCTTCACCTTCACACCTTGAAACACTCTTGCCCATTGCTCAAATAATAATAAACATTTACATAGTGCTTACTGTGGGCTAGGTATAGTTATAAGAGCATTTTAGATAATGACTAAATGCTCACAGAAGCCTGAAGGCTTCCATTTTATGGAAGAGGAAACCGAGTCCCAAACCAAATGAGTAACTTGCCTGAGGCCACAGAACTGGTACGTGGTGAAGCCCGTAGCCATGTTCTGACGGCGAGAGGTTGAAGTTCTTAAACTTAACTATGGCCAAATCATTTCCTTCTTTCTTGACTCCATCATGGTCTATGAAACTTCAACCCATGAGAACAGGAGAAGAAGGCCTCATGACCCCCTCATGAAGGGCTTCCTTGGTCCCTCAAGGCCTTATATCTCTAGGCAGAAGTAACTTTTTTGATGTTTATTTCTGATAGCATTTCGTCACCAGGGACCCGCCTTCTAGGGAGAGCTCTGTGTAATCTGTACTGACTCTGTACTGGGCCCGGGGACTCAGAAATCAACACAGAGTGGTTCCTACCTTAAAGGGCTTAGTCCAGGGAGAAAGATAGACATACAATGATGATACAGCTTGATGAGGCTCTGCCAGAGGTCACAAGAGGTGTCACAGAGCAGGGGGAGGGGTCCCAACCCAGGCAGGAGATGGAGCACAAAAGGTCTCCTAGAAGGAGGAGTAGAAGTAGGTGATGGAGCAGATGGAAAAAACAGCTTATGACAATGTTGAGAGACCTAAGATAGCATCTAGCATGGTCATTAAGACGCCAGACACTGGAGTCACACAGGCTTAGATGCCAATTCAGATCACAGCTGTGCCATCTTAGGCAAATTACTTAACCTCATTAAGTCAGTTTCCTCATTTGTGAAATGCCGATGGTAACAGTACTTGCTTCACAGGATTGCGTGAGAATTAAAGAGTGAACAGTGCTACCACATAATAAATGACCAATAAATATTAGTTAATTTTAAAAGATCACCCATAACTATTTCTTGCACCTAGCACAGAGTAGGGGTCCCCAAACATGTATAGAGATGAATTAACACAGTCCTGCTTGCAGTTCACTGACAGTCTATGGGGAAGAGGAAGCTAAATAAATATTACAATACAATCCTCTGAGTGTTAAGGCACAGGGGCTGGGAATGAAGGATCGAGGAAAACTAGTTTGTCCTTTTTGTGGAAAACTAGAGAAGGGAGGGAGTCCTCTAGGAATAGATGGTAACAGGCTCTTAGAGGAAATGATATTTGATCTGAGCCTTCAAGTCCAGAGAAGACAGGTGTTTTTTTTTTTTTTTTCTCTTCCGTGGTTAATAATCTAAAAGAGGGACAAGAATGAGTTAGAGAGCCAGACTGAGCAGGGCCAAGCAGCTGAGGTAGAGAGGCAGAGGAGCCAGGGGGAAGTGTAAAGCTTGTAAAGCTTGAGGGTGCCCCGCAGGGGCAGGAAAGTGTGGATAGTGCAAGGCCGTTTATAACTAGGCTGGCACATGGCTGATTCCAGAAAATTGTTTAAATTGAGTTACTCTTTTCCCAGAGAGGGGAGTAGGGTATGGTTTATGTGAGCTGGAGTTGGGGTGTAGTGTAAGAGATCCCCATGGTATCCGTGATCACTGCAATTTAGACCCTAATGTCTCCAGAAATGATCCCAACATGGAAACCTCATTTCTGCTGAGTGCTGGCCATAGCTGCAGGTGGCCATGAATGAGAAATGCTGAGGAATCAATGGCAGGGAACCAAGGACAGTAATGCAGAGAAAGCTACCTTGGCATTTGTTCTCTGTATGGATTCTCCAATGGCTTGCTGCAACAAGGCTGATGGGGTCCAGTGTGACTGTTGGCAATATGGGCTCACTAAGGATTTCTGGGTAAATTGTAGGTGCCCATTCCAGGAATGAGGAGGGACCCTGGCCCAGATTCTTCTCACAGAACAATCAGTGTGGGTGTGACCCAGGCCATGGATATTTATTACCTTCCCATATCATCACTGTCCAGATAAGGAACCCCTGTGGTCTGACCGGAGGCAGGGGCCAAGACCTGGGCTGGCTGACCTCACCAGGGACAGAGCTGTCTTCCCAGGACTGGGACTGAGCTGTTGTGACCCCAGGGTTTGCCTCTGCTCCATTACTCTCCCTCCATTTGTAGGGTCCTTCGCTGGACTGGGCCCCAGTCTCCTAAGTCTTTGACTTTTGTCATTTATTCATTCAATAACTTTTTAATGAGTGCACTATATGCCAGTTTCTGGGAATGCAGCAGTGAACAAAACAGAAACCAAGAGGCTAAAGTGGATGGTGAATGGAATTATGATACAGTCTGTGAATTATCCAGATTATTCACATAAGAAGAACACAGAGAGAAATGATTTCAGATAGAGTGAGAAAATTGACAGAGAGGAAGAGAGAGAAAATTGACAACTCAGCCTAAGTACTGGTCAGTAAATCTGGTTATTGTTTGTTTATTTGTGTAGGTGGGGGGTGGGCGTTGGTGAGTAGGAAGGGATTGGAGGTCTGGGTTCCCCTTTTTCTCTATCATGTCCTGGATACCTGGAAATAAGCACAGAAATGATTGAAATAGGAACACATCATCCTATTGATTCCTGGAATTTTAAAGTTTACTTGAAATAGATCCTCTCTCATGATCTCACTCAATCTCCCACTACCCTTGAGAGACAAACAGAACCAGGATGGCCATCCCGTTTTACTCATGGGAAAGTGAGTCCCAAAGTGGTAGGACTCACCTTCAAAGTCATACAGCATTTGGCTTCAAGGTTGGCCTTGAACCTTGGGGTTCAAGGTCCCATTTTCTGTCCATACACCCTCAGCTTCTGTTAGTCACGGTCCATTTGTTCTAATTCATCAAGATGTAATCACATGCCACTTGTCTTTATTATAATACAGAAAAGTAGCATTGGTTGGAACAGTGGTTCTCAAAGTGTGGGTTCCAGACCAGCAGCAGCAGCAGCACCTGGGAACTTGTTAGAAATATAAATTCGTGAGCCTTGCAGTGTACTTGCTCAATCAGACGTTCTGGGGAGGGACCGGCAATTTGTGTTTTAACAAGCCCTCCAGGTGATTCTGAAACAGGCTAAAATTTTAGAACCAGGGCTATAGAGAAAAAGGCAACAAATTTTAACTCAGGGGACTGGTTTCACCCAAGACCATGTTCCTTAGGGAATTCACATTACCACTTGCTCAAGCCTTAAGTTTTCTTATCTTCAAAATAAAGACTCATAATAGAATTGCTATGAGGAATCATATGATTCACAAAAGAGGAACAGAGAGAGAAAACTGACAACTCAGTATAGGTACTGGTCAATAAATCTGATTATTGACCAGCTTTTGATCACACGATTCCTCATGAGAAAATAGGTGTGAAAGTCTTTTGTATTATTAGTCAACACGATAATAATATAGCCATTCATTCATTCCGTAGGTATTTACTGAACACCTGGTTGGTTGGACCTAAGCCAACCATGGCGGAAGCACCCCTTTTGCTGTATTTTCAGAAACCCCTGGGTTAAGACACAGGTTAGCAGTTCAGTTGGAGGAGACGGAGTGAGCACCTGTACTCTACAGAGCAAATAATACCTCATTAGATAAAGCCAGTTCTTTAAATTTTAAGGTGCAGTGTTGAGACTGCCCCTGTGGGGGACAGGACAGGTGCACCCTACCAGGGACCTGAGGTACTATACCAGCAGCAGAATGTGGATCTGGTCAGGACCTTTCTCGGGCTTGGTCACATACCTCTAACTAGGTATTTCATGAATCCTCAGAGCAGATACTCCGATTAAGCATCGCTGAAACTCTACTGCAGAAGAGGGAAACCCAGGCTAAGAGAATGGCATCACTTGCCCAAGGTTGCAGAGTTAGTCTGCCCGGGGTTGACTTCCCAGCTATCATCCTGTCTGATGAAAGTACGGGCTCATGAAAGGAAGGCAGTCTGGCATGGAGTCAGGGTGCCTGTAGCAGAGCACCTCCTCAGGGCTGGCATTTGTGCAGGAGCTTTCTATACTAGCATGCTTCACCTTGTTTCCACAACAGTAATGCAGGGTGAGAATGACTATCCTTATTTTTCTGATGAGGAAAAGGAGGCTCAGGCAAGAGTGTGACTCACCTAGAAAGAGATGGGGCCTAGATTCAAACTAGGAAAGCTTGACTCAGAGCCCACAGTCTGTCCATAGTCAGGACTCAGTAGACTTTTCCTCAGAGGACCCTAGGAGGGTCCTCTTCAGGGACTCAGGGTGGGGGTAAGGATATAGGCAGGAGCAATGACACAGCTCCCGTGAGTGTCAATTTTTTTGAAGTCTCTTGTTTCATTTTCATGAAAATGCTTCTTCTATATGCTATAACCTAGGCTTGTTTGTTGTTAGATAAAATACTTTAAAATACCAATGAAAGTTAACCCTGCCTTTTTCCTTCCACTCCACCCCCCTCCCCCAAATCTTGGAGTAAAACTGAGGTGCCAAGTAGATGAGGCATATTTAATGTCCCACACCTCCGATGCTATGTGCAGACCTCCAGTTCCCGTGCAGGGGTCCTGGGCTGGGATCCTACCCCACACTGACTCTTTCACCTCCTTTGGGTCTTTGCTCACATCTCACCTTCCCAAGGAAGCCTACTCTGGGCACCCCATTAATAATGCAACTGCTCCCCTCCCTCCTCTGCACACTTGCAGTCCGCCTCACCCTTCTCCACTTTTTCCTTCTTTCCATGGGACTCACCACCTTTTTCAACAGTTTTCTTATTTATGATGTTTATTTTCTTTCTCCCCATTCCATTCTGCCCTCACTAGATTGAGAGTTCCATGACGGAGGATCTTTGTCATCCTTTCTTTTTTTTTTCTTAAGACAGGGTCTCACCCATGCTGAAGTGCAGTGGCGCAGTCTTGGTTCACTGCAACCTTTGCTTCCCGGGCTCAAGTGATCCTCCCACTTCAGCCCCCCAAGTGGCTGGGACTACATGCACATATCAGCATACCTGGCTGATTTTTGTACTTTTTGTAGAGACAGGGTTTTGACATGTTGCCCAGGCTGGTCTCAAACTCCTGAGCCCATGTGATCCAACCCCTTAGACTCCCAAAATGCTTGAACTAGAGGTGTGAAGCAACACACCCAGCAGGATCTGTTTTTCTTCACAGATACATCTCAAGCATTTAGACCAGTGACTGACACCTAATCGGCTGTCAATATTTGTTGAACGACTGGAAAAATTCTGTAATGACTCATGGGGGAACTTCTGGATGCAGATGGTGGTGAAGCTAGAATACTGAATCTCTCTCCTCCATTAGATAATGAAATAGAAATTGTAAAAGATCTTTGGGTACTAGATCAGATGTGGCTGAAAGAGCACATTTTGGTATGGTGGAAATGGGAGAGGGTTTGGAACCACATTAAAGGTATGACTCTCTGGTCTCATCGGATCAGCAATGCCTGACAGGGTGCTGGCCACAACCTAGATATTCAGCATGTCAAGATGAATGGATGGAGGGATGGATGGAAAGACAAATGATCTCATAGTTATTCACATCCTTCAGGTGTCAGCTCAAATGTCGCATTGCAGAGCACTTCCCTGACCACAACAAGGTGGAGGAGTCCTAGCTACTAGAATAATCCAGCTCAGAAAATGCTAATTAGTGAGAAGAAGATGGGTTTCTAGTGGAGGATCACATGGCTCTTTCCTTTATAGAACAAAACATTCTTAGCAATAACTTTGTAAAGATACAAAAGATCATATTTATATATGATAAAACTTGGAGAAATGGTATATAATAGAATAAAACTCCAAAAGGATCACTCACATACACAAATGCATGCATAAGTAATGCAAAGAAGTATCAGCTGAAAATGTACATCTGAATAGAAAACTACTTTGTCAACCTTTACAAATTCCAAGTGCTGGTGAAGTTGTGGGAAAATGGCACAGGTATGTCTATACTGCTTGAGACATGGCTTAACTCTTTGGAAAGTACTAACAACAAATGAAAAGGACTGTACAAATGTTCTTGCCCTTTAACCTATTAGCTCACTTCTGGGAATTTAATAAATAAACCAATATAAGAAAACAATCATAAATGACCATGGTAGCATGGGTAAGAGGAAGTAACTAAAGGCAACAAAACATACAATGAAGAGAGAAGTTAATCATGACCCAATGCTCATAGGGTGTTAAGATGATAGCTATGAAGGTCAGGCAACAGAGGAAGACATTTTTGCCTCATGATGGCAGATGAACAAGGCAGGGTGCAGAGGTGGCCCAGGAGGCTGGCTAATAGCAGCCGCCATGAACAAAGAGGTGCTGCCCATGGACAGATAAAAGGAAGGGACTCTCAGAAGTTAAGGTGCAGTTAGGCTTGACTCTTGGAATGATGGCTGGGTTTTCTTTTTAGGCTTCGGGTTTCTTCAAATTTTCTTTTGTATTTTAAACACAACCTGTAAATAAGATCTTGACCAGCTGAAATGTTGGGCTAAAACCAATACGATGAAATGGAATGGGAATGAATGCAAAGTCCTATATTTCATTTAAGAAATATACTAAAAAGTTTACATATATTAAAGGGTGGGGATGACTAAAGAGCTGTTAGGATAAAAAAGCAGAGGGAAAAAAAGAACAAAAGGTTTCACATTTACTGAAGGCTGGTACTGGGGTCCTGTGGGGACTGTAGGTGCAGCACAGTGGCTGGTCAGTATGATTACCCAACAGCTCCCTAATGAGCAGGGTGACTGGGGCTGGGAGACTTTAAGAAACTTGTCCAATTTCCCCTAATCTAATAAATAGTGAAGGCCGGATTTCCATTCAGTGTCAGTCTCTCTGCCTCCAAAATTGATACGGTTTCCCCCTAATACAGTAAATAAAGGGACAAGTATCGCGTTAGCTAAAAAGAGAGAATAGGGGACTGGTAACATTTCCCCCACCACATACTCTAAATATTACCTAACTGAGCATTACTGGCTCAGTATAAGACAATTCTATTGCTAAAGATGCTAATTCAACGCCCAAGAGTAAGAAGTGACATCTTGCTGGTCAGACTCTTCCTGGAGCACCAGGTCCAGTCCTGAGTCTCATCTACAGGGGCATATCCATAAAAGAGCAACCAGGATGGTCAGAGTTCTCAGGATTAGGGAACTAAGAGATGCCCAGAATATTTTACTCACATTATCTTACTTAACTCTTAACACAATTCTGTAAGATAGATATTACTTACTATTCTTGTTGTTAAAATGAGAAAACTGAAGCTAAGAGAGGTTAAGAATTTGTTCGAGTGGAAGAAACAGGATTTGAACACATGGCTGTCTAAATCCAGGCTCCCCATTCTTTCCCATGTAGCCTTCTGCACTCAAGAAATGGTGAAGCAGAATTGGAGCTATTTATTAGTTTGTAAGGAGAAATGACAGCCAACTTTAACTCTACGAAGGGCTATGAGTGGAAACATTCTGTGTGGCTTGAAAGGGAAGAATTTGAATGACTTTGGAAGTCTCAGGGATGTCAATTTTTAGCTCAAAGGAAGAATATTTTACTCATGGCAAGAACTGGATGGACTCTTGGGTAGGAACATCAATTCCTTGTGCTTGCAGGTGTCAAGCATGGTCTAGAAGGGCATTTGCTTATAATGGGGAGGAGATGTGGGTGGAGAACCTCAAAGTTCATCTTTGATCCTTAGATTCATGAGCCTATGAAGCTGCCTGGCAGAAAGAGATCAATCTCTTCAAAAGAAGTGAAAATATCTATTGGTTTGTCTATTTGAAGATATATAAGCAAAAATTATATGCCCGAGGTAAACACATTGGTCCATGAGAAAACTAAATACAGAAAATGAAATGGATTCTGCCGGAACTGCTTAAAGGTTTTAAAGAAGTTTTCTTTTTCTATACAGAAACATCCAAACTCTGGAGTGATATGCAGTCTTGGCTATAATCAAAGAAAATATAAAAAGGTGCTATTTTTCACCTATTAAGTTGGCAAAATAATTTAAAAAGCTGTCACACCCATTATATGTATTAAGAGTGTTGAAATGTCATTCCTTTTGACCCAGGTATAGCCACTCTCAGAAAACAAAGGAAAATATAAAGAGAAAACACTGTGAAACAGAAAAATCTTCATCTGTGTTTAATTTACAGAGTCTAAAAATCCAAGGTAGTATAAATGGGTCACTTGTGTGGCAGTGAGGAGAGGCTGAGGTCGGAGAGGGGAGCAGGAAGCCGAGGAGTGAGCTAGTCAGCATGCGCAGCGGAAAGCCCCCATGTACTGAGAACCATGGGATAAGCACAAGATGTCCAGAGAGCCAAAAGTGGGTTTGAAAGCCAAGGTCACTGCCTACGGGGTCAGCAGGTTAGGAGGAGCACACTTCAGTGTGCAGGGAGAGAAGGGAGGAGAGGAATCCCAACATTAACGCTGATGGCTATTTAGCCCCTCTCTTGCTGGGGCACATTAATTACATTCTCATTACTTCTAATAACCCCGTAACTAGACCTTATTTCCTCCATTTTGCAGATGAAGAAGCTGGTGTTAAGAAATACAAGTAACTTGCCTCAGGTAAAGTGGTGAGTGCTAGAATTGGGAACTAAACTCGCATGCATCTGCCTCCTAACTAGCTTGCTTTATCCCTCTGCATAATGAAAAGTGTGCAGCCAGCTCCTTCATAAATCCCAGATCTGTGGGTTAGGGCTTGGGAAGCTGACCAGGTGGTTTACTCAATTGCAGCTTTATGTTGGTCCACTTTATGGATGTCAGAACTGATAGTTATGAATTTTATGGAGCAATGGTGAAACATGTTAAATCAAAGGGCAGGATACAAACCTCATTGTGTGCTATTATCATAGGCATGGAAAATACATATTTTTACCCTTGAAAAAAGACTACATAAGATACATTAGCGTGCTGTCAGCAGTGCAGTTTGGAGACTATTTCCTATTTTTGTCAATAATTTCTATAGTTTTTCTCTATAATTACAAAAAAATTGCAAGTTAGAAATGCCTACAAGAAGCATACAAGCACCTAAAAGTCACCAGTATACTTTCCTAAGCAAGGAAATAAAGCCAAGCCCCATCTTTCTGTTTCATCTGGTATCAGAAAACTTATTGCCAGGGCTTCTGAAGACAGTGCCCAAACCTCACTCATTCAGGTCCTGCCAATTCAGTATTGACAGTCCTCTCCTATACAACTCACTGGCCTGGCACAGGAATCTAAGTGTACAAGTGAGGGAAAAATCATTTCAGCCTAGACAGAAAGTCACCTTCTGCATTGTGTCCAGCTGAACAGCATTTGGTGGCCATGAAGAGGAATTCAAAATAGCTGTTAGGTCAGAGTCTCAGTTAACTAAGAAATTTATTCTCAATTTTGAATATCCCCAGGCACATTTGAAAGACCCTCAGTTTGTTTGCCCCCCTCCTTTTTTTTAAACATAGGGAACACTCTTATTTCTTCATTTTAATGAAGGTCTTCCAGTGACTTTAACTGGTACTTTTCAAAAGTGACATCTGTGTTAAAATACATGTTCCCAAACTTATCCCAGACCTACCGAATCAGGTTCTCCAAGCCAAAGAAGAGGAAATCTGTGTTTTAAGCACCTCCATCAATTCTTAAGATTGGGCAAGTTTGGGAAACACTCTATCAAACAAAATGAATTTGAGTTTTGTATATGTATTTGAATGTAATAAAACTGAATGTTTATAAGCAGTCCTATCATTCCCAGTCCCTCCAAATGGCCTGAATTAATAAGACTGACTTCCATTGACTAACACTTAGGTTGGGTTTTCCCAAACATATCCTGAGATTATGTGACTAGATTCTCAGCCTAGATCATAATTTTCCACTCATCTTTTAGGGAAGAGGTAAAAGGGCAGGTTTTTCACAGAACTGAATTCCGATCCAACTCCACTGCTAACAGCTCCAGGACCCTGAGAAATAAACTACTTAACCTTTTCCAAGCCCAAGCCCATTACTTCATTTGTATGGGTTTAAGAATGATGGTGTAGCCCTCGTATTATAATAACAGGGCACCAGGTACATAACAGAGGCCAGACCATCTCAGTCTAGTGTGTGAAACCTCCTCATTACATCAGAATTGGCTCTTATAAGTGTGATTCCTTGTTGCACCTACTTCTGATTTCATTCTGCCTTCTCTGCTAAGGATAATGACAAAATTCTGCAAGGGTCTTTGTGATTTAGATATGATGTGATTTAGATTTTTCCAGATATCTAGATTGCTCTCCACAACAACCCTAAATTAGGGGTCATTCTCTCCATACTAGAAGAAACAAGGCCCAGAGGTCAAGTGACCTGCCTGGAAGTGGCGGAGACAGGATTTAAACCCAGATCCCATAATCTTTAAGTGCCCCGTTCTCCTGAATATATGCATCAAACATTAAACAAAGAACTTTCAATGATATCAGGGCATTTTTATTGTGGTTATTTCCACAACTATCTCCCCCACTAACCTAAAAGTAATTGCGAAGCGGGTACCACATTTTATTAGTCTTTAAGGACAAATGCAGAGCCCAAAAGGGCATGAGCTCAACAATGAGGCAAACTTTTTTTTCAGCCTCTCATGCATTCCACACAACTCATGCCT